ACCACTGCCACGGTTTTTGAACTTACAGAATTCCCCAAACTTTGCTTACTTGCTTATGTTAAGCTGGCGAAGCCCGCGATTATCTATTCTCGGCAGTGAAAATAAACCCGTACTTGCAAGATTTAATGCTTCGATTGTGCTGCTTAGATCCTGAAATAGAGTCTCGCATATATCACTCTTACCAGCAAATGAACGAAACGTAATGTTCTCTATTCGCTTTTTGTTTCAGCAAGGTTCTTCCGAGGTTTTTCGTAATTCATGATTCAGCAAAAAAATTGGACTTGTCTGTTCAGACTATTTGGACTCAAAACTTGGAGGTCCAAGAAGAAACATCGGGCAATAAACATGTAGCGAAATGAGTCAGCATTATCTTACATCTGCCCAGAGTTTGCACTCATATGATTACCTGAAAGGCATGTGGATTCCAGGACGTGATCGGGTTATGGCTGAGATCCAGTTTCATCAGCTTCTGCATTTTTGAAAAAGCCGCTTCCTCGATTGTTTCGATGTGATTATCAGCCAGTATCAACTCTGTTAAATTACCCATTCCATCGAAATCATTCGTATCAATCGAGCGAATTCGATTGCCCTAAATTTTTTGGTAACTGTGGAATGGTTAGGGGCTACAGTGCGCCGTTTCATTGGCCTGATGAACTTGTGTAGCAATGTTTGAGTATCGCGGTCACGTAGAAGGAGGGAACTTGCCACAGTAATCAATCGCTCTCGTGACTCGCTACTATTTAATCGCGGCCCGTTATCTCAGAAGTCACAAAAATCATTTTTACAAGCTTTAAAGTGCAAGCGGTAAATTTTAATGCAAGAAATGAGTTAGTGCAAAAATTTGAACTCACTCTGAGGTCGAGAACGGTGATGCTGTTGCGCACCGAACTGAATGCATGCCGTGGGATTTTCTTAAGTTCATTATAAGCAAGATCAAGCTTCTGGACATTATCAACTCCAAAAGTATCCGTATCCAAACTGATTATTACATTGTGCCGCAGTTTAAGGCTTTCATAGGCTTTCTAAAAATCGACAGAATTAATACTCTTAGATTGCAGGTGGCCTTTTCTAGTCACAAATAAAAATGTTATTTTCTAAAAAAATGGAATTTTTAAGAGCTTTGTTGAGTTTTCGTTTGACAATGTAACGTTTTACCTGGTTAGCAAAAGTCCCTTTGTGTATTATCCTGAGATGATTGTGCGATAAATCAAGTTCACTGAGCTGCGGGCACGTCAAAAAGGCATTACTTTGCACTTCGATTAATTCATTGTGGCCTAGTTTGAGGATTCTGAGTTGATTGAAATCATCGAACATGTTCTTCCCGATAGATTGCAATTGATTATGTGCCAGGTCGAGGTACACAAGCGTTCGCTTAGCGGCGTTCAGATCAACTCTGCAGCAAAATCTCGAGTTTAAGAAAGTTTGCATCTTTGATCTAAAAATGGATGACAGAATTTTGTATTAATCAGAGACCTTTGTAGCTCTTTTTGCGTCACATATCTGGGGGAATTCGATAATTTGAAACTCATCCGTTGCAAGGCTTTTGGTGCTTCTCAGCAACAGAGTGGAGCTGCTGTTCCTAACCAGTTGGAAATGCAGATTTTCTTATCGTAAAATTATTCAGTAACGATTCTTCGTTGTTTCTTATTGTTGGTGAAAGCACTTCAACTTGCAACATGCAGAAAATTCCCTCTCTTGCTGGCCTTTCTGCCAAATATGCATTTGCATAGTTTTGCTAATCAGCAGAATTCAAAATTGTGGGATTTTTTGAATGAGATTCAATTTTCTGCTTTGGCAATTTAGAAAACAAGAAAACGGTCCATAAGAGAGAGGCACTTACGTGATGATGCGGTTGTGGGACAGATCGAGTTGTTTGAGATTCACCAAACTCTGTGCGAGGAATGTGAAGGCGAATGCCTGCAGATGATTGCTACTCAAATCCAGCTGCTCCAAGTTGTTCAGATTAACAAACGTTGCCTTACGTAAATACCGAAGGCGATTTCTGGCCAGAGATAGGTGCTTCAGGGTTGGAATATCGCTGATTGATCGCTCTTCAGTTGCATTGATTTCATTGTCCGCTAAATTAAGCTGGCGCAGGCTCCTCAGCGATGAAAATGTCTTAAATATTTAACTCTAACTTATCGGCAGAGAAACCAAACACAGTGTCGCAAGTTCAGGGAGCTGTCTTGAGCGAGTAATAGGAAAATTACGGGCTTTTCAAAAAATTTAAATAATTTTTGATTTTAATTCAAAGATCGTTCGTCCACAGTGCTTCTCATGGCTTCCCATTGAACACATCCATACAACATATGATGGACGTTGCATATCAGTGCAATTGGTGTGCTCGAAAAAGTACTCGGACGGTTTCTAAAGAGATGCGCACACACACTGATGAGGGGATGAAGGTAGGAGCGAAGGACTTGGCCAAGCTGCACAGAATTTGTAGAGCATCCCAGTAGCATCATCAACAGTCATCGGTGTGATTGTCCGGACGTCCCTGTTATTCTTGGTTTGGACAATTTTGTAGCATTCTAAATTGATCGATAAAAAAACCCGGTTGCAAACGGTCGACCAGAAACAAGTTGATCGTTTGCGCAGCTCGTTCTGGCGTATTTATTTTACTTCAGTATGTTAAAACATACATGTGAATGGATAATTGCCAGTTTGTTGTTGTTGAGTGCCAGCTGTTCCAGACTGTCCATTTTGCTAAATGCTCGACTGGAAATGTAATTGATATGACCGAATGCGAGGTTCAACGAGCGTAAATTTTGTGCCACTTCGGCAGCGAATGTTTGTTCGGTGATTTGCTGGAGCTGTGTGCCACCTAAGCTTAATCGTTCGAGATGCGTAAGGCTCTGAATAGCTGAATCAGGCAGTGCTCTGATCGGGTTATCGTCCAGCAGCAAATAGCGCAGTCGTCTCAGATTGGCCAGAGCACTGCTTGGGAACTCCGTGAGTTGGTTGTTCTAAAAGGAAGTATCTTGAGAAGTTTTGAAAACATCGCACTGGGGACTGCTGTGCTTCGTTAATAAAAGATTGTTTTGAAAAACGGAAAAATCTGTTGAAAAAACTGAAATCCGTACGATGAAAAACTGAAATTTATGGGAACGGTGATGGCATTTTTGTGAATACTTGTGCTCCGACACTTTAAAGTGATGAGTGTTACCGCAAAAAAATGTGACTAAATGCGAGCTTTGCCTTTCTACACATTTGTCATCCACAGGGACAATCTCAGCTGGTGACAACAGTTTCTGATTTTAATTTCTCCGAATACTGAGAGGTATGTATTGCATTGCACCGATCTAATTGATTTCTGGATGGTG